CGTTTAATGTTTTGACTTCTATAACCGCTCATGTCTGTTGTCGTGCTAATTTGGAGCTTCAATTTAATATGTTATTTTGAGCATAAATTTATTTGTGAAAGCAGCGACTAAGTGAATCCTCAATTCGCGTTTTGCGTAAAAATATACGCAAGCAAATTATTGTTATTGTACATCGAGGAGTTAGGTCAGGGTTGCCAACTTTACTCGTACCTATATTTTTTACTAGTATATATATATTTTTAATTCGAACATACTATACATAGAAATCTTTGATTAGGTACGGGAAAGTTTAAACGAGGATGTAAGGAAACTACCTTACTATAATATGTACTTACTATATTATGGCTCTTTTATTGGGAAACATTTCAATTTAGTGAATATTGTCGAATTATTTTTATTTCGTTTGACTTAAGTACTTTCTCAATACATAATTAATCTTAAAAAAGTAAAAACATACTAAAAAAATAATTACACGATTTTCACTAATTTAATAGGTTTTGAAGTCAATTCTTCAACACACTACGTTGTTTTTGTCTTTGCATTGACTTCAGAAGTTATTAAATTATGTGAGAATGATTGTATTCTTAATGATTTTTGAAGTTCATTCCTACCTTACTGGTTTCTTACATTTACGTGAACACTACACATTAATTGAAACCAACTTTACGGATTCTATCGCGTTTAATTTAAACGGATTTTTACCATCCGTCCAGTGTCATAGTTCTCTATAAGATGCAATAGTGTACAAGGTGGGTTGTGAAGATAGTCTCTCTAATATATATATATATATATACATATATATATATATATATATATATATATATATATATATATATATATATATATATAAACTCATATGTAATCTTACATATATATGAAATATAAACAAAAAGATCTATAAAAACCCGCGTAAAAGAACATAAGTATAGCTGACAGGTTTACAATTTGCAAAGATATCGCGTAACATTTTTTATAAATAAAATACAGTTTAGATGAAAACCTTCGCCTTTTTTAAAGTCTGCTAACAAATATGAGTGCACTGTTTGCGGCAGAAGTTGGTAAGAGATTATAGACTTAATAACATACGAACTTCAAAGTCGTAATTAATTAGAAGATACCATCACAATTCTAGAAAAAAAAAACACTATTAAAATTTATGGAAGGTCATTAATTTTTTTCATAAACCCCAAGTTTTTTTTAAATTAATTTCGCCAATACTTTGAAAACCTTCCATACGGGCTTAACACTTAACAAAAAAAAAAAAACAATTTATTTGCAGTTAGGACTAGAAATGTGTCCGCGTGCTATTTTCAGCGCCGCCACAACCGATTTAGACGGCGTTTTCATTTCGTATTTCTTTCTTGATGTTCCACATTGAATTATTTTAAACTTTACACTTTGTAGATAAGGTTTTTATTTGTAAAAGGAATGTAAGAGACTGCTAGCTCTATTCCGTCATGCGATGAACTATTGCGTAAATTCGGCAATTGACACTGATTTGAAGTTCTAAACGATTACTTTATGGTTGTTATTAATTCTTGTCAGTGAGTAAGGTATTGTTTAAATATGCGTACGTATCGATAGAATTTTCGTAAAATAACTTGACATGTAACGTAATTAGTATATTATGTTATAATCATAATACATACACTGACTTTTTAGTTAAACATGTTTATGCATTGATTATTTACTAAATTAGATAAACTAATTCCGGAAGAATGTTATGGTCACAGTACAAATCCACGAACGCACACAGTCGCACACGTAAGTATAGGTCTTGAGGGTCTTGCTAGCCGTTTTGGAATTCCGAACGGGTCGGTCACACATATACGGAATCCCGTTTTGCCCGCAAAATATTGAACGGAAAACGTACGTGTCATTTTATACGAACTTGCTGCGTTCGGAATCTCGAATTGGAATTCCAAAACGGAACCCCGAAACGGGAACTCCGTATGTATGTGGCGGGCCTAACCCGTGTCCTAACGAACCACCGAGCATCGAGTTGTTTATTTAAGTCTAGTACTAGTAACCATTTGATTGCATCTTTCCATCACACTTTACAGGCTTTGGATTGTCGACTCTGAATAATTTTGTTTATTGATTATGACTCAATGTCAATAGGCAATATTCATTACAAAATGTTATGTAAATAATAATGAACTGCTAAAAATAAAAGGCGATACGACACCATAATTCAATGACGGCGTGTTTAAAAGATGTGAATCAAGATATTTACAATAATTTAAAAAATCTAATACTTAACTTACTGATAGCCAAAACACTCATGCAACGTTGTGTTTTTAATACACTTTCAAAATATTCACCACCTTGTTCAATACATTTTAATGACTGTTTTCTTAATTGGTATTTTAATTTAGAAAGCACTTCAGTGTCATTTTTAACGTGCCGTTCACTACAGCTTTCTAAAATCTGGCCAAACGATTACGGCAGATATCTATTGTCAGCAACTGCAAACCATGAAGGAAGAACTAGCTGCTAAACAACCGAGATTGGTCTTTAGGGCAATTGGTCTCTAGAGCACTGCTGCTTAATGACAACGCAAGACCACACACTGCACAACAAATAACCACTAAGTTAGATGAGCTACAATTGGAATGTCTGCGACATCCACCCTACTCCTACTCCTCGGACCTTGTTCCGAGAGATTACCATTTTTTCCGGAATTTGGACAACTTCTTACAAGGAAAAAAATTCAACGCCGATGCGGTAGTCCAAACCGCCTTCAAAGAGTTTATTGATTCAAGCCCCCATGGTTTTTTTAGTAAAGGGATCAATGAACTACCTATGAGATAGCAAAAGTGCATAGATAACAACGGTGCATACTTTGATAAATTAAATATATTTTACAAAAAAAAATTGACTTTATATGCCTCCCGTACAAAACGCCAATTTCATATGCAAGGACCTAATATATGGTAGAATACCTTATTTGAAAAATTGATTCTGGCTCGACCCGGGATTCGAACTTGAGACCTCATGATCAGCAATAGCGTCTACAATCACTAGACCAACGAGGCAGTGATAGGCAAGTAAAACTTACACTTGACCGAGTTTTTCTAATGAAACCCGCAATGCCACACTGTTGAACCGAAAATAGTTACACTGGTGTAAGCTACGTTTTAATGGGCTATTATTTTAAACTGCATGAACACAGATCGTAACGTGAACTAATTCGGGATTTCTACGTAAAAAGTGATAGAATACATTAGTAAAGTTAGTTTTATTTTATGTGCAATATTTTTTAACCAACTTCAAAAAGGAGGAGGTTCTGAATTCGGTGTATGTTTTTTTTTGTATGTATGTTACGCGATAACTTCGCAGATTGTGAACCAATTTTGATGAACCTTTTTTGATTACATGGGGTATACACACTACAAGGAATGTCCCATACAAATTTGAAGAAAAAATTTAACCCCCAAATAACTTCAGTTTTAGCAATTTGAAGTCGGTTTTTACTTTTTGTTAAAAGTTATAATTATTATAGAATAAGGGTGACCAACGAGCACGCAGTCCACCCGATGGTATGTGGTTGCTGTGGCCCATAGATATCTACATATATCCTCGATTAAGCATAAAATTGCAGACGTATTGTCAGCCCTGATGACTAAGATGGAATGCCTCGTTTACAGTAAAAGGGTCTCTAGTTCTCTACATTTATACGAAACATATCAGTATTAAACAGCTGTCTTACGCTGGTCGAGTCGATCCAATTGTGCTACAACTTTAATATAGTTGCAGCGTGGCTCTGCCACGTTTAAATATTCGAGTAAATATAAGAAATATATTTTTTTTAAATACATCTCAATATTAAAAATATTAAAAAGTATAACAATAATAAAAAAAAAAACTAAAACTAGACACTTAATTATCATATAGTCCTACTCCCCTCGCTATCGTGCCAAGAACGCTGGCTGCGTTTCCCCGCTGAATGGCTATACTTATCCTTTGAGCGAGAAAAGAGCCCTCATCATCAGCAGCAACGACCAGCCGCGGATGGAGTTCCTTTAGGAACTTCACCGCACGTGGACCCCACGGACCGATAGTCTCTACAGCAAATGGCACAAATATATGTAGTCATCTCTCAGAGACTCATATTTGCGCCACTTACTCAGTTCAGCTGCCTCTGATGCCGCCCCGGCTCTGAACGAGGTATGTTAGATATGCAATAGAATTGAGTTAGTAACTAGTGTGGAAGAACATCCATCGTCCCGTAGGTGTCGCAAGAGGCGACAGAGGGAAACAAACTAGGAAATGCAGGTAGCAAGGTTTTCCTTATAACTAGAATGTAAATAATAACTGCGGTTGCCAACCCGCCTTTCAAGCATGGCAACTATGGCAAATTCACCCTTATGAGGTAATCTATGGGGGGGGGGGGTTCAGCAGTAGAATTTTGATGGCATGACTAGCTTGTTCTACGCGTCTTTTTTTATAGGATAGGGTGACAAACGAGCACACAGTCCACCTGATGTTAAGTGGTTGCTGTGGCTCACAGACATCTACATCCATCCTCATTTGTGAATCAAAATGCAGATCCGTTGTCACCCGTGAGGACGAAGATGGAATGCCTCTTTCCCAATAAAAAGGTTGGGTCTCCGGTTCTCTACACTCACCATACGAAACACAGCAGCTTTATGCTGCTATTTTACGCTGGTATTCTGTGAGAGCGTGGTCCTTCCCCGGTCGAGCCGACCCATTCGTGCTACAACTATACTACTAATATAGCTGCGGCATGGCTCTACCACGTGTAATGTCTCTCTCATTCTATAGCGTATATAAATATGAAGTATCACGACAAATTTAATGGTAGAGCTAAAAAGGTGAAGCTAAAAGCACCAAAATGCTGTTTAGTATGGGGATCATGACTTGATCATCAGCATACCCTGATGATCAAGTCATGGGTTAGTGGGCTCTCTTACGACGCCACTTTACGACGAATTACAAACCTTAGTTAAGTTAATAACAATACATCTTGTTTTCAGGCATCGCGTTAATCTTCTACACGGTGTTCTATGCTGTGCTGGCGATTCTGTTTTCGCTCTGCATGGGCGGACTGTTCCTGACCCTGGATGAGAACAAGCCCTCGTACATATTGGAAAGCTCACTTATAGGTTGGTTTATATGAAATGGAATACATTGATCTTGTGATGGTGGCTTAAGAAAATTCATCACCCCCTTTTCATCCCGTGAGTATTATAAGAGGGGATTATTGGAAATGTCACAGCAATTTTGGCTCACAACGGATAACCGTAAAAGGAAGTTTAAGGTCGCTCAGCGAGCAATGTAGGCTTTGCTTGGGGTTTCTCTACGTGATAAACTTAGAAATGAGGATATCCGCAGTCAGTGGAGTAGCGTGCCTTAGAGGGGCCCTGTATTAAAATTTGTCGGGGGGCCCAAATGAAGGGTAAAGATTTTTCACAAAAGGAACAAAAACTCTCGCATTGAATTCAAATAATTATATATTGATTATAAGTTATTACTTACAATTAATACTCCTAGAAACTAAGCTAGCCAAATAGTTCAAACCAACATCCTGTCCCATAGAAGTCCTAAGAATTTTTGCTTACATACGTTCGGGCCCTCTGTAGCCCGGGGCTCCGTATCATTGATACGGCTGATACGGCGGTAGCTACGCCCCTGTCCGCAGTAGAACTAGAGTAACAGACATAACCCAGGGGATTAGTAAGCTGAAGTAGCAATGGGTCGACCACACAGTATATCACCATGAGAAGAAAAGGTTATTGAGTAGCTGCCGTATGCGAAGTTTAGTGCGGCTGCCCACTAGATGGAGTTGATGGATGCAGGTAACTCAGGATGGTGCTCTGTGTGCATCACTTGGGGGAGGCCTATGTTCAGCAGTGGACTTTAGCTGTAATCATAATAATTATGATGAGGACGACAGATGGCGCTACAACTATCTTGTGTACGCTGGACATAAAATATCCAGACCTTTGATGGCAGCGTCAAAGAAACGAGACGTCTGGGTACTACGATCATCAATTCGTCTGCCAAGGGCGACGACTAAGGCATATCTTCCATACAACGAGGGCAATAGCATAAAACGTTCAGCAATGGACTTTTACTATGATAAAGCTGACCCGGAAAACGTTGTTTTGCCATATAGATACATTATTTCTATGAAATATTTTTTAGTTTTAAAAATCGCGATTAAAAAACGGAGGTTGATCGTAGAAGGGTGAAAATTTGAAGTTTTATGTATTTTTCAATTCTAAATCATTTTAAAGTAAAAATAAAAAGATTGTAAATAAAATAATAATAAAATATTTAGGAGTGGGTCACCCTTATCATTTAGGGGTTTGAAAACTAGACGTTGGCCGATTCTCAGACCTACCCGATATGCGCACAAAATTTCATACAAATCGGTTCAGCCGTTTCAGGGGAGTTTGGTAACAAACACCGCGACACAAGAATTTTATATATTAGAAGATATACTGTTTTAGCGATCCGCTGAGGCTTTATACAATTGATATCTGGATCTCGACAACAGTGCGAACTGAGTCCAATTGTGGATCTAAATCATCAAGGCACTTACTAAAACACACACAAAAAAAATTAACAAAATCGGTCTAGCCGTTTAGGAGTTCAGTGACTAGCACAGGTATAAGAAATAAACATATTTATAGGACAGGGGGCAAATGAGCATGCGGCTCACCTGATGGTAAGTGACTACCACCGCCCATGAACAACTGCAACACCAGGGGAATCGCAAATGCGTTGCCGGCCCTTTTAAAAAGTATTAGGGTCTTTTCTTGAAGGTTCCTAAGTCGTATCGGTCCGGAAAAATCGCTGGTGGTAATCGATATGTAAAGAATCATCTTCATCGGCCCGTATATAAGTTAAGCCACACAAAGGATGAATTACAAATCCTCTTTCCTCTTTGTGTCATGGGTGTTGCAAGAGGCGACTATACACAGAGAGATACCTCTTGACCTTAAATAAATGACATCGTTGGCACGCTTGCCAAGCAGCTTTAGCAACCGCAGTTTTAATTTTCTAGCTGTTATACGGCAGTCGCTACTGCCCATCTCCTGTTTTGTTTCCCTCTTTCGCATCATACGACACCCACGGGATGACATGGGGTAGTTTTATATTTAATACTTTGGTAGTTCCTTTCGTTTATTTACCAACCAAAATTCTTTTAAATCTAATTTTAAACCCCTAACTCCCATAACTAAATAATTAAATTACTCTTCCCGTTGTGCATTACTTTTTCTAAAAATTAAATATTACTTTTTTAAATCAAAGACACAACAGAAACAGAAACAGAAACTTTTTTATTCAATATAGATTATAAATAATACTTATTGATAGTCACTCTTTTGTTTAATTCTACTGGTTCGAAAAAAACCTCTGTCTTGGGAAGAACCAGCAAGAAACCCAGCGGGACTTTTTTTTAAAAATAACAGCTTACAATCATGTATACTTACTTACTTACTTATCTTCACGCACAATCTCTGACGGGGTAGCCAGAGAGAACAGATCGCCAAGTGTCACGATCCTTACAAACCTCTTTCGCTTCTTTCAGATTCATTATCTTCTTCATGCATGCACGTCTAGGTATCCGAGTACTCTTGACCCTACCGTCTTCGAGCAATTTGCTCACATGGTCTTCGAAAGTTAGTCTCGGTCTACCTCGACACCTTTTAATATTAACTTTCGCGCTATATATTTTCTTCACCATTCGGTCTTCACTCATTCGCTCAACGTGCCCAAACCACCGAAGCACGCCCTTATCAATTTTTGTGATAAGGTCATCTTGCAAACCTAAGGCCATATTGCGAATCTCTTCGTTTCGCTTTCGGTCGGCCATAGTAACGCCGCACATTTTACGAAGAGATCGCATCTCCACTGCATTCAACTTACTTTTATGCTTCTTCTGGCATACCCAGGTTTCGCTGCCATATAACAAAGTCGGTACCAACACTGCGTTATGTATTGCAAGGCGTGCACTCTTCGCTACGCCTTGCCTTTTGACTAACGCAGTCAGGGCACCATTGACTTTGTTCCCGGCAGCGACACGCCTGTCCACATCCAAATCACATCTTCCATCCCGGCTAAAAGCACTCCCCAAGTATACAATTTCATTAACCTGTTCTAGACATTCCTGATTTACCCATATTTCACACTTCGTTCTCTCTTCGTCCCTTTCAAATACCAGAACCTTAGTTTTATTAGCATTCAAACGGAGACCTTTAATTTCACATTCCTCTTTCATACACGTGACTAATGCCTGCAGTTCTGCCTCTGATGGTGCAATAAGCACTGCATCATCAGCATACAGCAGACAATTTACTTTTATGTCACCCAATTTCACACCCAAACTATCTTTCAGCTTCTGTAAACAGCTGTCGAGATACAGTATGAACAGCCAGGAAGACATGACAAAACCCTGCTTTACGCCCGTTTGGACGTTAAACATGGGTGACAGGTCATGCCCTACCCGCACACAGGCTTTACAGTCACAGTAAAGAGACTGCACAGCCCTTAGCAATCGACCATCCACACCATACCCCGGCAACAGTTCCCACATTTTCTTCCTTACAACCTTATCAAATGCTTTCTCAAGATCCACAAAAGCACAGAAAATCTTCTGGTTAGCAGCCAAAAGCTTTTCCGTGATCATGCGGAGAGAAAACATTTGATCCGTGCATCCTCTTCCAGGTCTAAATCCGCATTGTGCCTCCCATAGAAATCTTTCCGATTTCTCTTGCATCCTACGTGTCAAAACCTTCGAGTAAACTTTACTTGCTAAACTGGTCAAGCTGATCGCCCGATAGCACCCGCAGTCAAAATGTGAACCTTTACCTTTATATAAAAGCACAATGACTGCGGATCGCCAATCATCCGGGACATCCCCCGTCCGCCAGCACAAATTGCACAGCAGATGGAAGCTGTCCCAGACGCGAGGCCCACCATACATGATCATTTCAGCAGTAACTCTGTCTAGTCCCGCAGCCTTACTACATTTCAAACTTCGTCTCGCACGTTCAATCTCTTTCATACTGATGACCTCAGTGTCATCGAGGTCCGGGTCTGGCGTACTAATCACGGCGTCATCCCCGGATCCCTCACTAAGATCATCACACGCATACATTTCTCTATAAAATTAGCACCATCGCTGCATGACGTCCGATTTTTCTGAGAGGACGACATTAGTTCTCGAAAGCACTTTGTTCATTCTTAAGGCCGTCGCACCACTTCGGGTCCTTCCAACCTCTTTCCAGAAGAGTTTGGAGTTCTCCTTAAAGTAGTGCGACAACCTTTTGTCCGCTTCCATTCTACACCTTTCACGCACTTCCTCAATCAGTGCTTTCGTGTGAACTTTCTGCAGCCTATATCTTTCTTTCATCTTCTCTCTCTTATCCTTATCATTACTAGAGGCCAAGTAGTCTAACCATGCTTTCTTCTTCTTCTTTACAGCTTCTTTCACTTCATCATTCCACCATGCATCTCTTCTTTTACTACTGCCTCTTTTTATTGTTCCACACACTTCTTCCGCTGCACTTACCATTCCATCCCTAAGGTTCTGCCATGTTCTTTCTACACATTATTTTCCGCCATCGATGGTGTCAAGCTTTTCGGCTACCCTCGCATGATATTTGTCCCTAGTATCCGCTCCCTGAAGCTTCCAGCTTCGGATGCGACAGACCGACCGTGGTTCTGTTACTGCCGTCCGGTAGCGCCAACCCGCGAACAGACCCCTAAATCTAGTAATCACTAGATAGTCATCCGTTCCCAGGTCAGCACCCCTGAACACTCGCGTATCCATCACCTGTTTTCGCAGTCGGTCATCCACCAGGAACAAATCAATCATACTTGTCTCATTCTTTCGTTCTCTAGTATACATATGGATTTTCTTGTGATTAAACATAGTGTTTGTCACAAGAAGACCCTTTTCCTTGCACACCGCCAGTATAAGCTTGCCAGCATCATTAACCCTTTTATCGCCAAACTTTCCAAGTACCGACTCGTACCCTGGTCGAGCGGTACCAACCCTTCCATTCAAATCACCACATACAACAATTCTTTCGTTTCCCCTAGCCAAATCTAGAACTTCTCTTACATTCTCCCAAAACTCCTCCAGCTCAAC